AAAAGCGGTCTTTGGCACATCCGTTGCCCGTATTTTCAATTGATGATAACCGGATCTCATGTCAATCTTAGAGAAGACACAAGCACCTTGTAACTGATCGAACAAGTCATCAATTCGAGGAAGAGGATACTTGTTCTTTATGGTTACCTTGTTCAACTACAGGTAGTCTATGCACATCCGAAAACTCCCATCCTTCTTCTTCACAAATAACACCGGAGCACCCCAAGGGGATGCACTTGGTCTAATGAAACCTTTACTTAACAACTCTTGAAGTTGGGCCTTTAACTCTCTTAACTCCGTGGGAGCCATTCTATAAGGGGGTATAGAAATGGGGCGAGTACCCGGTTCAAGACCAATACAGAAGTCAATATCCCTATCTGGTGGCATACCAGGAAGATCTGCAGGGAACACATCCAGAAACTCACGGACCACCGAAACCGACTCAATTGAAGGTACTTGGGTAGTGTCATCCTTGAGATGTGCCAAGAAAACTAAACACCCTTTACTAACCATTTTCTTAGCACGAAGAAAGGAGATGATACGCACCGGATTGGGACTGTAGTCACCCTCCCACACTAACGGATCTGTCCCAGGCTTGGCTAACGTCACCGTTTTAGCATTACAATCCAAGATCGCAAATTGCGGAGAAAGCCAAGTCATACCCAGAATTACATCAAAATCATCCATTTCTAAGATAACCAAATCTACATAAGTGTTGCTCCCTACAAAGTTCACCAAATAAGACCTATATACCTTTTCAACCACCACAGACTCACCCACCGGAGTAGAAACACGAATAGGCATATCAAGTAATTCACAATGTAAATTTAGACCATTAGCAAATGAGGAAGATACATAAGAAAATGTGGATCCAGGATCAAACAATACAGAAGTCATGCAATCACAAACCAGAAGATTACCTATGATGACAGCATCAGATGCCTCCGCTTCAGACCGCCCAGGGAAAGCGTAACAATGGGCCCTATCGTTTGTCTGTCCATTGCCCCTACCATGTTGTGATGTAGTGGCTCCAGTTTGCCCATCACCTCGACCATTTTGGTGACCACCATTACCTCGACCACCACGTCCTCCAGAATAATGGCCTCTACCATGACCACCTCTACCTCTAGCTATTAGGGGTCTATAACTCTGTTTGGGACAATTCCTCCTAACATGTCCAGTCTCCCCACATCCATAACACTCTCTAGAGTCAAGCATAGGTCTCTCATAGAAGTGTTGACCGGTCTGAGGTGGACCCCCAACTACAGTCTGTAAAGAAGACTGAATGGGTCGAACTGAGTAACCTCCAGAACCTTGTCCTCTAGAGTAAGAACCATTAAACTCACCTCCCTTTCGAAACCTCTTTGATGTCGATGCCATGGTGAATTCATCTGGCTTCACTTCTTCCACCTCTACCACGAAATCTATCACTTCTTGGAAGGATTTTGTCGTAGCCGCTACCTGTAAGGCTGAAATCCGCAACTCTGACCTCAACCCCTTCACAAAACGACGAATCCACTCTTGTGGACTAAAACAAAGTTGAGTGGCATATCTGGATAGTGCACGAAACTTAGCCTCATATGCATTGACCGACATTCTACCTTGCTCTAGGCTCAAGAACTCATCCCTCTTCCTATCCCTCAAAGTCCGGGGGATATACTTCTCCATAAACAAGCTAGAGAATGAGGCCCAAGTCATAGGTGGTGCCTCCATTGGTTGACACTCAACATGTGACCGCCACCACATTTTGGCGTTCCCTTGAAACTAATACTATACGAACTCAACACCAAACCGTTCTACTATACCCATCTTATGTAGTAGCTCATGACAGTCAACCAGAAAATCGTAAGCATCCTCAGATTCAGCACCCTTGAAGACTGGAGGTTTCAATTTCAAGAACTTACTAAAAAGTTCATGCTGATCACTTGTCATTAT